ATGAATCGTCTGAAGAAATCGACACGCTACCACCGAAAATACTGCATATCATTCTGTCTGGTTCGCGTGTCTTAGAGTCTATAAGCATTTCTTACGTACTTACTGAGACAGCTACTGGTTTCTGTTAAAAGATTAGCGATATAATTATTGGGTTGGCTTTAGTGTATGGATTTTAATAGGTTATATCATTCATAGGAACCCTGCAGATCCAGTTACGCGGTGGATTGTTATTCTTACTTTTTCGGCTCCAGATTTGTTAGGGAATGATGAAGTAGACACTAACATAGGTGGTATCCTGATGAGTTCTGTGATCCTGAGGTCCTTTATTCTTAACTATTGGTAAAGATATCATGGACGATTTTATTGAATCTCTTGTGAGACCAGCCGTTTGAAACTAATCTACTCTCGACACATTCGAGCAATTAAATACTGTTTAGTTATGTGTATTACCTGTTCTACTAACGTTATTGCTTCAAGGTCGTTAAGTGGTGTTCTTACACTTTGACACATCTCGGAAAACCTTGTTTTGTATGAGTACACCTTTTTGAAGATGTCTTCATCTCGAAGAGTGTTCGTTCTAAAAGCGTTTTAATAATATGAAAATGTTTCGTGCCTCCAAACCCTTGGTAGAGTATCCGATGGGCCCCCCTACGACACGCCTATCATCACCTGACAGATGTACTTACTTACACTTGTTATTCTCAACGGAGCATAGGCCGCCGACCAGCATTCTCCAACACAGTCTCTCTTAGGCCTTCCCTTCTAGTTCTATTCGATTTTTGTTCATTCTTTTCATGTCTGTCTTCATCTCTCGGCCTTATGTGTTGTATGATCTTTCTTTTTTTCTTTTGGCTTTAAGGATTCCAAGTGAGAGCTTGCCGGTCATACAACAAGTTAGAAGCTACCACGTTAATCATTTAGATTTACTTATTATTATCGTGGCTATTATTACCATTACTCTTTACCGTTAAAAATTACAAGCGCTCTGCCTCCTCTATGAATTCACAAAATTAAAAAGCAGTCGTTGTGATCATGTTAACTTATATTTGGTTAAGAAAAAGAATGGTTAACGGAGTATACGAACAACAGAATTCACCTAGTTTTGGGAATCCATTACTCGTCTTAGTCAAACGTATTTTTCTGCATTTTCTTTGTTCTCATGTCTAAGTAGCTTGGTTTCAGGTTACAACGCACATAAGTGAGGATTTGGACACAAAAATACTGCATCCGCATGCACTCTAACCATCGTCCTTCCGAGTGCTGGATCACACACTGAACCAGTAGATCACATCTGCCCATAGTGGGTCTGATCGTGATAATTTCTTACTTTGGTCAATTGTTAGAGTTTAATTACCCTGCATCTTACTCCAGTTCGATTGAATGAATGATTGCCATTTAAATATGCATACCGCCAGCCGTCGTATATAATTACGGTCTTAAGTCACGCTAGTGAATAACGGAGTTTAATAAGCCAAGTATGAGAATGAATTTCCAATACGTACGTTTCATACAGTCTTCGATCTGCACGGACAATCAGGGAAACGAAGCAAAGGAAGCTAAAATGAGAGAGTAGAGCGGAACAAAAAAATGACGCTCAATGAAAAAGGCGAGTGAGCCAACTCCTTTTGGTCAAACGTGACTTGATATTCGTAGTCAAACAAAAATATGTTACAGACAAATAATGAACAGAGTAAATAGTTAACACACATACAATCGAACAAAAAAGTAAGAGTTAACAAGCAAATAAATGATAAGGTAAGAACGTGATTTGAGAACGATGAATAGATTGGTCTGCCCAGTGGCTAGAATAAACTGTGTGGGCTTGAAACAGCAGCTGCAATCGAAATGAAAAGTTTTTAACGGTTGAATTCATGAGTCAATCAAAGCTAGACTGCCATGGAAAACCTGAAAACCCTGAACCGATAGGTCCTGGGTACGAAGCTCCCGAAGAGTGATTGTGGATGCGCACTGCTGAAGAGTCCTAAACTAAAACAAAACAACAGTCCATTTCTTCCAGGTTTTCAATGATGGTCTAGCTTTGATTGACTCATGAAGTCAACTATTAAATTACTATGATATCCACAAAATCCATTTCTGATCATAACAAGTTTTGGGTTTGGAAAATGATTGAACCAACATTTGTACGAAGTTGATTCTTAGGTGAAGCTGATGTTGTAATTTAAGTTATACCATTAATGGTTAGCCGAAAATCTGGTGGTGTTATCAAAATATTATAACCCAAGTATCCGTTGGCTTCCTCATTTTTTATGGGCATCATATTTCCTAATTTCACAGGTTGGACGTTGAAACGTTTGTCTGTTTTATTTGAGACCTCACACTCCAACTGCTCTGTTCTGAATAAAAAAAACCTACTGCGACCTCTAATCCAGCCTTGTCCATATGTAAAACGGAGGTTTATTACCATTGCTAAAAATTTTTGCCATGTACTGAAAAAATTGCATCGATTATCTTTGGGCATGATTGAATGGTCCCCTTCACTTAATGTGTCACAAAGTAAAGTTGCCTTAACTGTGTCTTTTCTGTTAGACTCATAGATCCAGGGTTCTTGAAGATAACTCGTATTGAAGATCACTTTATTCATTTCTCGGCTTAGTGTGTTCTAGAAGCTCAGTTCATTGGAAACTTTTCACGTACGCTTTACGAGATAAGAAGTCTGTAATCACATCGGCTGCCTAGAAGTATATTGAGTACTGGAATCAAGCTTTGGGATAAAGATCAGTTTTCAAAGCTCACCAGGAGTGTACTTGCTTGTCAGCGAGCTAAGATTATATTCAAGTTGTAATGAACCAAATGCTGGAATTTCGGCAGTTACATGAGAAGTTTGTAGCCGATTAACTGAATGAGTGATCCACCTTCCAGTGAGCGCTGAAAACGAAGTACACCACAATATATAGCTAGGAGTTTCCTGCCTAAATCGCTACATATCGGTCCAGTTTCTTTGAACGTTTTCGGCAAAAATGCCAACGGTTGCTGAGTGTCATTAGCCCATTGTTGTGAGGCTCATCCAATTGTTGAATTAGATGCGTCTACGGCGATTTTAATGGATGTTTTGACGTTGAGGCGTGAAAGTTGGTGATAATGCCCTTCGCCGTAGTAAATAACTTTCTCGCGTTTTCGTCAAAGTTGACTGTCGCGTGCTAAAGAAGCTGGTCAGTTGACAGTCGTATAACACACGCTCAATTCCATGCGGGCCTCTAGCTAAATATCACTGGTCATTTGAATGTATGCAGTTTCTTGACTGTACCAGGCTCTGGTCAATCCACCTTATTTCCCAGAGGGTGAATCATTGAGCCTAAATGGGATGCCTGACAATGTCCAGGGGGTGGTCTCAATCCGACATTCTGTAACCCGTACAATGACTTCATGTATTTGCAGTCGTAGGAAAATAAAGTCCAGATGCTAGAGATAAGATTCCCAGGCCGAACTTTCGATCAGACAGTCATGGACATAATTGTGCACAAAGTGAAGACCTTGGAATACATAATCAGTGACTGTTTGGTACTCCTGAGCAACAGTTCTTAAACCGAAAAACATCTGCGAAAATTGGTAATGCATAAAAATGATGCTAATAGCCGTTTGGAAAATGTCTTCCACAGTCACAGAAATTCGGCCAAATAATTTAGCCAAGTCAAAAGTCGAAGTGATGAAAGGGTTTTCAACTGTAGTTCTGAAGTCGTGGATGTGAGGAAAAGTGTTTTTCTTATGAAGTCGCTGATAGCCACGAAAGAGATGCACACGAAGTTTTTGACCGTCGAACAGTTCCTAAGTCCATCATGTCTGCAAATTCGTCTTTGAACAGTTTTATCTTCCCAGGAGCTAGTCGGTGTGTTTTCAAGATTACAGGTGATTCTGTAGTCATGATGTAGTGTGTAACATTGCTGGTTACATATTGTAGTTTTGTTCGTGTTTTATAAAGTTCAGGATACTTGTCAAGTATTTGTCTGAACTGTGGATCAATACTGTTTTTAATCGTGATCGAACAAAACCTATAACCATAAAGCGAAGTTCTACAAACAGTTAGTTCACTATTTCCATCTACTAACCCCCACCTTTTTTGGGTCGATGAGTAAGTTACGGTGTTATAACTGGCTTATACCAGTGACTGATATTGACACGTCAGCAACAACAAAAATATAGCGAACTGGTTTACGCAAACGAGGACAGTCTTTTATAAGGTATCATAAGGTTAAAAAAAATTACTAATGGATATACTGGGTGTAAGGTACCTGTTCGAACCGTTCACTAATGCAAAGAGGTACGCGCATGAGCCTGTGACCTCATCCTGGTGTAAGGCGGTCTCTGCATTGCAGGACCAGGTTTCAGTATTATCAGGCTGGAATGGGATGGATTGAAAGATGGAGGGTGTAAGTGTCTTAAACTTTTCCAGTTTGAGTGTGCATTTCGACATTTTAAAAATACAAATCCTAAATATGTTAAAAAAATTTGGGAACACGAAAATCAAATCACGAAACGTAGAATAAATTCAAACGTGATGTCACATCATGGAACAAATTTACGGTTTACTATTTAGTGTACCGAATTACGACGAGCTCACTACTAAAGATGTTACGGATATTAAGGGTATGTCAATGCTGTTGTTCATATTACCCCTAGAATCAAGGATGCTGAACGGACGTGAAAGATGAATGAGTTTGAAAATATGTTTGGAAGATAACTGAAGTTTCGAGAAGTATGTAAGTTAAGCCGGCTAATAATCATGAGGGGTGCGTACCACGGCATAAATGATGGTAATCTAGTTTGGGTGTGTGATTGACTGCCTTCATATATAGTGTGTCCAACAAAATAAGGTTTGCATCAATGTTGAAGAATTAACCACTATATGACCTACCAGTTAGTTACACATAACTCTGTATCAAGCTGTCTTTTTATACTTACGATGGATATTTCTGTAACTGGCTATGGACATTACTTCGAATTTGTTTGTGTTAGTGCGCGATATGTTGAATGAGTCTTTCCCGAACAAAACAAGATATGACTTTGGAATTACCCCGCGTTTATTCAAATGACCAGGCTACGTTGACTTGCAAGTTTGTATGAGCAACGTGATACATGGTTTTCCTTTGATAGGTTCTTGAAATCTCCTGACTGTCTTACAGTTGTAGAGTAATCAGTAAGAAGGGGACACCAGTTTTGTGGCCCATTGATATGACTCCAGTTTTCAGGAACGTTTGAATGTGCCATAAGAATAAATCTTCCATTCAACTCCGTATATTACATCTAAGCTAACCCCGTCTGTCCGACGGTGATAATGAGAAGCTAAATGCGGGTTGAATTGGACGAATTCACTTCGGGCACTCGTTCATTAAGACAGACAATAAGAATGAGAGCCGGGACGGGGAAGACAAGTATACTTGTCTTTAGTTTATAAACTAAAGGGGGCGAGCGATACACATGCCCATATACAGTCAAGTTAATGAGTAAGCAATTGACAAAGTCAAAATTTGACTGAAGAAGAATGAACAAATTGGTCTGTCCGGAAGCCAGAATAACCCATATCGGCTTGACATAGCGTTTTGACGTTTATGGATGACGTCAGTTCGTGATGAGAGCTATAAATATGTTCCTCAACCATCAGCTGAAAATCATAATTATAATTCATCGCACTGGTTTATAACCCTCGCCTAGCATTTTTTACTGGGTGGACATTCCCAATGTCACTTTAACGTTGCTGAAAGGTCGTCCATAAATTATAGTCTCATCGAGATTGAGATTGGATTTTCTCAAGATACTCTGTAGTAAAAGTAAAAATATTGGTACTATAATTTTAAGTAAGAAGACAAAGCAAAGATAATGGTGAAATTTTGTTCGACAGTCGTATAATGATGTTATTCTAATATTAGGGTGTTTTATTGAGTTAAGGATTCTCTCTGGATTTTCATTCGGTAAACAACATAGCTACCCCTCAAATGCCCCGGTACGGCTGGTAATGGTGAGAGTCCGCTCTCCCTTTCATATTGCTCTCACATGACCTTGCGTATACAGGTATTACAGGGGTAGTCTTATTCACTGTTCTCTCGCTGCGGCGTTGTTGTTAATAATACTAAGGGGACAAAACGCGAGTTTTTAGCTATTTAACCTGGTTGGTGGATATAGAGGATTCACCTAGGGTAATTGGAAAACCCTGATTCCAAACCAATGGCGCACATGGGTCTCAGGATCCTGAGGGAAAAAAGGGTGTATGAACCTATTGTTGGTAATTGGATACTATGGGACTGCATTTCCTAACATTCCCCTACTGTCTTGTGGATTAGACCCTTAGTTTATACCCTGGTTCTGTATTCTGGGTCGTGAATCCTTTACCCGATATAACGTGGCTAGTTTCATTATCGTATTAACGTATTGTAATATATCTGATAGTGAGAAAAATATTTTAAACCATCCGTTATATCAACCTCAGACACTAAACGTAATCACTTTACCGAATAACTACGATTTCAGTAATGTGATTTCGTTCATGTACTCGAAAAGTTCCAAGTCATGTCGGCTTCATCTGCCATTTTCTTCAAAGATGCTTCTGAAATATCTGGTGAAATTAATCAGTAGTGTTAGGTTTAAGAAACCTTTACTGGTTCCCACTATTGTGTTAAATGTGAACAATTTCTTTTTTAAATGTTCAAGATTCTTATTGTGAAAATAAGAACATATATGAGCGAACAATATTGTAAAGCTTAGTGAAGATCTAATTTATTTTTAGCTTTTAGCTCCCCTCTTGGGTGTTTTGTGTACTTTTAAGATACATCAAATGAAAAACAGTAACATACAAATCAAAAGTAATCACAAGCATGTTTTCTGATCCATCTGACTTCATTTTTCGTGTGTATTGTCTATCTATTTTAAAGGGAATAATCCCAATTTGATACATTCAATTAAATGTCCGATTCAGAGGATTCAGATATTGGTTTGCTTGTGCAAGCACTGCCAGTTTCGGATTTTGATTTGAATGATCCACCTAATCACGAGAAGGCCCTTACATCACCTGATGAATATTTAAAATTTGTGCGGTATGTTTGATAAATAATAATGTTAATGATAGGTATCAAGCTTCATCATTCCCGAGTGTGTTATGTTGTCAAAATCCGCCTACAGATATGGTCAAGCAAGCGGCTACCTCAGCAACTGAGTATTTTAAATCGACTGACAATGATATTCAAAAAACCTGCAAGGTCATTTCCACGAAGATTTCAAGACATTTACAAGAAAATCAAATCACTCATTTCCGTAAAACTGTTGATGTAATAAATTGTCTCATTTTTATTCATTGTCTCATAGGAATACCAATGTTTGAAGTCACTAGTTTTGAGAAATTTCGATGATATGGTAAGCAGTCGTATCTAATATTTATCTTCACAATATTTCTAAGCAACAATGCAAGCATGTTCGGGATGCGATTCTCCCCCTCGAAATGCAAAATGTTGCTTCAGGATTGGGTTGCATTGACACTCGAACTAATGATAGGGAGTGAAGTAATTGAGCGTGTCGATCGCTTCACTTATCTTGGAAGTCTCATCAGCCCTTGTGGTCTGATGTGTGACGAAATCTCAGCACAGATACAGAAGGCTCGACTAGCTTTTACCAACTTGCGTCATTTATGGCGTAGGCGAGATATCCGTCTATCAACCAAAGGACGGGTTTACTGCGCAGAAGTTCGTCCCGTCCTACTTTATGGCTGTGAAACATGGTCGGTAAGAGTAGAGGATATTCGTAGGTTACTAGTATTTAATCATAGATGCCTTCGAAATATTGCTCGTACATCCTGGGACCATCAAGTGAGTAACGCAGTTGTTAGAAAACGGGTACTAGGTAAGGATAGCAAGTCAATTGATGACGTAGTGAAACTTCTTCAGTTGAGATGGCTGGGATACGTGTTACGTATGCCCAACGACCGACTGCCTCGACGTGGGATGTTCAGTGGTATAGGAGTAGGTTGGAAGAAAGCTAGGGGCGGCCAGACCAAAACATGGCACAAGTCCATGAAGTCACTGACAAGTGGACTGAGTCATGTTGGTAGGTGTAGACTACTTGGTTGGGGACTGCGAGATGATAGCAACCAATGGTTAGAGACCTTGAATGACATGGCTCAAAATCGTTTGCAATGGCGCAGGTGCATCCACTCTTTGTGTTCTAAATTTTGATCTCCTTATTCCTCCTTGTCTTTTTTTTCTCTTCCCAAATTTATTTCACTGGATTACACTCTTTAAATAACATCTCCAAACCCTAATCTTCCTGATTACTGCTTATACTCTTACTACCTCTATCACTACGGGATTTGAATCGACAACTGCATCTCTGTGCTAAGGTGGTGTGGCAACTCGAACTGATGTACGTACGTACGAAGTTCTACGTTGTTACTGACTGACTGACTGAATGTTTAAAGTATTTTGATAAGTAAAAATCCTAGTGGTGATGTTGCACACTTACTATTAAAGTTGTTTCAAGATGGAGCTATTTGATTTCTGCAGGTGATTATTGTAGGAAGCAACTTCCTACAGGTGTAACTAAGCTATTCTCTGGACTGTCGAGCACATAGTCTTGATTTAGCCAAAGTCAGAACAAGTAAGCTATTCGGCTTGATAAACTTTCTCTGTTTCGAACAGTAACTAGAGGATAGGAAAAATGAGTCAACAAGGCGAATGTTGCTTTATAATGAACATAAAATTGTGATTGGTGAATAAACAAGGCATAGTCATACAAGGTCAAAGAAAGTCAATGCAGTGGTGGGCGTTTCACCTTATCATTGGCAGGTTCGTTCATCGATCACACTTCACAATTATGCCACATTGTTAATGGCTTAGATATCTGTTCGATTATTCTAAAGTAGCCCCCAAATGCCCTGGTACGGCCGAGAGTGGGGAGAGTCCGCTCTCCCTCTCGAAATACTCTCACACGGCCACGCGTATATAGCCTCTGCCAGGGAAGTCCTACTCACTGCCTTCTCGTGGCGGGGGTGTTGTTTACGAAAATGAGAGGACGAAAAGCGAATGCCCGGCGCTTTAACCGGATTCCAAACCAATGGTGCACATGGGCTCCAGTATCCTGCGGGAACAAATGGCGAATGAACCAATTGTTGGTCACCGGCTTCCATGGGACTGCATCTCCTTACGATGCTCCACTGCCTTGTGGATCAGACCCTCAGATCGAAGGCTCGGGGTGTGGCCCCCTAAGAAAACCACCTGCTTCGGTTTGGGCACCCGGGCAGTATCACAGCCCTCACACATATCGGATGAGGTTTGTGTGGCGCATATGTATTTGGTGCCTCTTTGTACCATTATCTATGTGTTGAAATAAAAATAATAACTTACCATTCTCTGGGTGGCTAAGAAGAAATGTAGACTAACAGATCCGTTTGTAGTATGCAATTGTGACAATAAAAGGTGGATACATTAATTCGTTTGAATATTGTGTAAATTAAACTTTATCTTAAATTGGTATATCAGATGATTTAGTAGTATGTGTCATTCAAAAGAATTGTTTTGGAATGGTTAAGGTAGTTAACCCCCAACTGTTAGATCACGCGTTCTAACACCTGTTCACTTATTTCGTTTTAGGAAACAAGACATTGTCAGTAGCCGTTGCAAAATTGTAAAGCTCAGGAGAGTACTTAATCGTGGGTCTGGCAAATGAGTTACATTTGTTCATGATTGACCATTAAATTACTTTTTTTTAATGCTTATGACAGCACAGTAAATTAGAACAGCAAAATTTGGTATACAAGTATAGCTTAGTTAATATCTGAATAACAGGAAATCTCACAATTCGTCAACACCGTGGTTGGAAGATCGACACAGACCTCCCGGCTACCAGCGAGATCGAAAAGGTCATGACTAACTTGAGGCGAGATGAATTCGCAGGACCTTATGACTCTTTGATTAATATCACGAATGGATCAATGTTAGACCACCATTGAAAACCTGGAAGCACTAGACAGTCCTAGTATAGGACTGATTGGAGTTAGACATTAACACCATTGGATGCCAGCTCAGTGGTCTATGTGTTAAGCGTTCGCGTACGAGACAGAAGGTCCTGGGTTCGAGTCCCACGTGCGGGGTTGTGGATGCGCACTGTTGAGGAGTCCCATACTAGGACGAAATGGTCGTTCAATGCTTCCAGGTTTTCAATGGTGGTCTAACATTAACCCCTCCGTGATATCAATTTAAACTTAACTATCTCCACAACCCCATACTGATATTTATTAATAATGAAATTGACTGGGTTATTATTAACCTGAGAGCTGTAATTATTACCGTTTTTGACCAGTATTGACGGCTTTTCTTACTAACGTATAAGAACCGACACATCTGTTTGTGAAACTAACTGAGGAAAATCAAGAGGAAAGTATACTAAAAACCATTCAGCTTTGTATTACTTTGTGGCTTTAAAACATGTCCTTTGGAGGTAGGGAATATATATATCTTTGTGGCACCGTTAGGTTATGATGAAGTCACCGAATAAACAATGGTAAATTTAAGTGTAGATCACTAGGTAAAGATGACATATAAGCTGATAAACCTATGAAGCTTCGTCGACCGCCTACACTGACTTGTAACCCTGGTTTGTATAGGAATAAGTTGGAAAATGCCCTGATACGGCCGAGAGTGGGAAGAATTCGCCCCCCTCTCGGAATGCTCTCACATGGCCACGCGTATATAGCCTCTGCCAGGGAAATCCTACTCATTGCCTTCTCGTGGAGGGGGGTGTTGTTTACGAAATTGAGAGGGGAAAAGCGAATGTCCGGCTTTTTAACCGGGTTGGTGGACATGGAGAGTCCAACTACGGAAGTTGGAAAACCCTGATTCCAAACCAATGGGGAATATGGGCTCCAGTATCCTGAGGGAAAAAATGGCGTATGAACCAATCGTTGGTCACCGGCTACCATGGGACTGCATCCTTTTACGATGCCCCACTGCCTTGTGGATCAGACCTTCAGGTCGAAGGCTCCAGGTGTGGCCCCCTAAGAAAACCATCTGCTTCGGTTTGGGCGCCCGGGCAGTATCACAGCCCTCACACATATCGAATGAGATTTGTGTGGCACATAAGTATTTAGTGCCTCCTTGTACCAATATCTATGTGTTAAAATAAACAAATAAATAAAAGTTGGAAAAGCCAGAGAAACTTAAACTAGGACTTTACATCAGTCCATGCAGTCCATAACTATTGTTTTGAATCATATCAATAGGTTCAGGGTTCCTTGTTAGATTCTGCACGACGATGGTGATCTCTGTTTAAATATGTCATTGTAGCCTCAGAATCGACGTGGGATTGTGTTCGTTCTTCATCTTTTAAATCTTGAGTTATAATATTCTGGAAATTTAATTCCTCTGATATTACTGTTCTTTCTGAACAATATGCTCTATGATCAGTTTTCCAAGGTCTCTGGTACTAGTTATCGGTTTCCTCTTTTTGTGCTTATGGTTTCCGAAATTGAACCGATTCACATCTGTGCTATGTTCCACATTGATGGTGAATGACTAAGTAATATAATAGTAGAATGAAATATAAAAGTTTATATATACTAGGTAGAGAGATAAATGCAACTCATTTACCAAGTATAAATTCTTGTACTCTGTTTTGAGCCACACTGCGTAAAGGCTAGTGATACTACTTGTTTATTCAAACCGAAGTATGTGGAGCAGGACTTGAGTCTGCAAACAGGTGGTTAAACGTTGAATGTCTAACCCACTACCCCATTAGGAATATATATACAACAGGACTAAAAAAGGTCTAAGACACCCTGAATATCATATCACAGCAAAGCTAAATTTCACCACACTACCTAGACCAACTGATGAGATTAAAAAAACGTACAAATGTGAGACCATTAGTCCTATCTAATTAGTTATACTTATAAATTAACGTTTTATAAACTACTTTGGTGCATTTTTCTCTGTAATTTTCTTTTCATAGACTAAAACTGTTATTCCAATAACTAAAACAACAATACTTGAACACACTCCATCCTTAACTTGGATCGCTCAACGAACCAGGGTAGTATTAATCTTCACTTTTATTTTATCTATCTTATATTTTTCCATTTCATCATTTAGTCAGAAATTATGACATTGATTAATTTGGCTGCATCCGTATGCACCAAAAAGCACTGGAATTCTAAATTGGTAAGTTAATTTAATTTTACAGGTATGAGAAAAATAATTATAAAAAGATCATAATTTTCTGATAAGTGAACATAGGCTTAATCCAAAATAAGGAAACACAGGTTATAATAATTTTGTTGATCCACTTAGATGATAATACTAGTCTTAACGTAGTAAATTACTGTATGTATGATTTCAGAGTTTGATATGATGAACAAAACGTGATGCTAATAGCCAGGTCTTAATTATCGAATAAGTTTCCTTCAGTCGCCTAAGACATTTTATGATATTTATCGTGTTAGCGTTTTGTATGGAAACATGTCATCTTATCTCACAATAAAACCAACCTCTCTGACTGTTTTCGATTTCGAATTGTTCGAGGGTCCACATCAATAATACAGTCTCGTGAGCAGCCAACATTTGACCATACGTTATATAATTATACACCATCCATCGATCAGTGATTGTACTCACTGATTCTAAGAATCAGAAATTTGTTCATAAAATAATAGAATCATCCTCTATTGTAAAGTCTTATCATTTCTTTAATAAAAATGTTTATGTACAAAATCACAGTCAAATAAGAATGTACATTTCTAATGTTTCATAATCTCACAAGATTTTCTCATTAGTAAAGATTACCACATCTTGGTGCAGTAAAAGCCTTCACCAGTTGTTTATCCGTACTTAAATGAACTCAGAGATATATCAGCTGTGGAGTATTTACGTTCAATTTAAAAATAAGGGGATCACTTATATGTTAAAAGAAGTTGATATAGGAAGCAACGATTTGATCTATTAGACTACGATTGATATATAAAATTGTTCGTCTGTGACGTGTGACCCTATTTTGAGATGTAATTGTATGACTTAATCACTTAGTTATGTCTGTTGTACATAAATGTCTAGTTGTGTTGTAGTGAACGAGAACTCAGGTGGGGAAAAGCAATTTATTGTTTTATACAAAATTACATTTCGTTCCCGACCGTTGTTGCTACCTTGACGTGGTGGTCGGGCTTACCTATCGTGATGAAGCAACCGAGCTATACTGACTGGAACAACTGTTCCTCAAGGTCCTACCACGTCAAAAAGGTCGGTTGAAGAGCGGTACAACTAAAAGCAACAAACCTAAGGTCCGAAGGCGAAGTCGTACTGCTGACTACAGAGGTGTGACAGCAGTAAGGTTTTTCCTTTAGACGACCAGCATGACAGCGATGCTGCCTTCCCACAAGGAGGGGTGGAGTTAGAAAAGGTCGACCCTAAAAATGCACACCTCACCTTATCCCACGGATATCCGTCTCCGGCGGTAAGGTCTCAACAAGTACGGAGCTAACACGAAAATTGCCCACAAAAAGGTCGTGTGTGACCGACCTCAAGTAGTTGTCCCTTGGGCACTGCGGTCACGCTCCCTGGTCACTAAGATCACTTCTAATCCAATTTCATTTTCAGGTACCTCCAGAAGAACCCTTCCACGGTGTGGGCAACCGGGAAGTGATAATCGCCATCATACCTCTAACAGCACCCAAGACCACTGTATTCATAATCAACCTTCCTCTTCAATTCCTATTATTCCTCGTACATCGACTTTCAACCCTAAACTTCGTCCTTCGGCTTCTTCCTCAAGTGTCACCATAGCCAACGATTCTAGTGCTCAAAACTCTGTCCCAGGTCTACTGAAACCTCGCTCCAAACTACACATTGGAGCTTTCAACGTACGCACTCTATGTCATCGGTCAGCAGGCTTCCTTGGCTAAAACCCTAGAGTCTCTTACCATTGATGTATGCTGTGTCTCCGAAACACGCATACAGGATTCCAGTGTGGTCATTCACTTGACCTCACCTCGGCAAAACGGAGAGCCAACGAGATACATCCTACGTGTATCTGGTGACCCGATGGCCAGTTCTCGTGGACTGGCAGGTGTAGGCATAGCACTAAGCATGAGGGCGGAACAAGCACTGCTAGAGTGGATCCCCGTCAACAGTCGTCTATGTGCTGTTCGGCTAAACGGCTCCGTAAGAACTCGGAAGGATAGGGACACACGTCGTTGCCTTTTTGTCGTTTCTGCCTACGCTCCCACCGACTGCAGCTCAGATGAAATGAAAGATGAATTTTACAGAAAGCTATCTGAACTTCTTCAGAAAGCTTAACGTTCAGACATAGTACTCGTAGCAGGTGACTTTAATGCCCAGATAGGTAGTCTAAACCAAACAGAAAGGCATTTAGGTGGGTATTTTAGTATACCGGCACAACGAACAGATAATGGTGATCGTCTGCTCAACTATCCTCAGACAATCGTTTATTTTAAGCATAAGGAGAGACATCGTCTAACATGGCGACCCCCTACACCAAACCAACGATGGACTCAAATAGACCATATTGCCATCAGTCATCGTTGGAGAGGGTCGGTAGAAGATTTTCGCTCGTTCTGGTGTACCTGCGTGGACTCCGACCATGCCCTAATACGGGCACGCATCTGCTCGCGCCCCACTGGACGCAAAAAGCCTCAGTAAAAAGACCCATTGGAACTGAATTGAGTAGCGAGAAAACCAAAAGTAGGTTCCAGGAACAACTGAGGTCACAATTAGGTAGTTCTGAAAACGAGGTTGATCCAAATGTTGCTTGGAAAGCTATACAAACAGCTGTGGAAACAGCAGTGACATCTATTAGTGACTTAAACCACAGAGTTACAAAGAACCAATGGATTTCTTCAAGGTCTATTGCACTGATGGATTCTCGCAAACTCGTCCCATCAGGTTCCGAACTTGATGAAGAGCGACAAAAAATCAGATCTAGGTTAAGAAAAAGTCTAAGAAACGACTGTGAGCAGTGGTGAGTAACGAGAGCAAAAGAGATAGAAAAGGCGGTGGCTATAGGAAACACAAGACAGCTCTACAGACTAATAAAAGAAACTGGAATTACTAAGTCAAGTGTAAGTCAGGCTATTTCGGAAAAAGATGACACCCTCATCTGCTCTCAGTCCAGACGTTTAGAACGATGGGTGGAACATTTCAGAGAACAGTTCAGCTGACCTTCAGCGACTCTACAACTACCCTCCATTCCCAGACAGTGTGAATGAAACATTGAAGTAGGTCCCCCAACTCTAGCAGAAGTTCAAAAGGCTAAAGTCAATCTGAAACGAGGAAGGGCAGCTGGTCCAGATGGATTGGCTCCAGAAGTCTTTAAGGATGGTGGTCCAATTTTAGCGATTAGGTTGACTAATATTTTAGCTAAGATCTGGGAGTTAGATGTTATTCCATCTGACTGATCGCAATCACTTATCGTCCCAATATATAAGAAAGGATCAAAATCATAATGTGACAACCACAGAGGGATTAGTTTAACTAATATAGTATCTAAAATACTAGCCTCAATAATAATCAGACGTCTAACTAAGACTCGTGAACTGCAAACACGAGAAAACCAAGTTGGCTTCAGACCTGGTCGTGGCTGCATCGACCACATATTCACCATTCGTCAGATTCTAGAACACAGGCATACTTATCGTCGTCCGACGATGGTGGTCTTTCTTGACTTAAAAGCAGCATTCGACTCTGTAGACCGCGAGATTCTGTGGCAGTATCTGTCATTGAAAGGCGTACCCCAGAAGTACATAAACCTTGTAAAGGCTCTTTACTCGAACATTACCAGTCGAGTCAGAGCTTATTGCGAACTGTCATCTGCTTTTGCAACCTCAAGTGGTGTCCGTCAAGGCTTTCCACTTTCTCCATTTTTGTTCAACTTCATCATAGACCTATTGATGGAAATAACACTCTCGTCGACTGAATCCTCGGGTATTGATCTCCTTCCAGGAGGTCCACTTATCGACTTAGAATACACAGATGATATAGTCCTGTTTGGTGAAGACGCTGATAAAATGCAGAGTCTTTTGGTAGCACTAAGCAACAATGCCAGAATGCTTGGAATGCGCTTCTCTCCCTCTAAATTCAAGTTGTTGCTTCAGGACTGGCCTGCGTCAACACCTGAACTAAGGATAGGGAGTGAAGTAGTCGAACGCGTCAACGACTTCACTTATCTTGGAAGTCTGATCAGCCCTAATGGGCTGGTATCGGACGAAATCTGAGCACGGATTCGAAAAGCTCGTTTGTGTTTTGCCAACTTACGTCACCTTTGGCGAAGGCGAGGTATCCGTCTATCAATAAAAGGACGAGTATACTGCGCGGCAGTACGTTCTGTCTTACTTTACGGCAGCGAAACGTGGCAATTAAGAGTAGAAGACACTCGTAAGCTATTAGTATTTGACCACAGATGCTTTAGAAATATTACCAACATCTGCTGGGATCACCGGGTAAGTAATAGTGAGGTTAGACTCAGGGTATTAGGGAATGATGGTAAATCAGTTGATGAGGTTGTTAATCTTCATCGACTGAGATGGTTGGGCCACGTATTACGTATGCCTGAACACCGATTACCACGACGTGCAATGCTAACAGGTGTAGGGGATGGTTGGAAGAAAGTAAGGGGCGGCCAAACCAAAACGTGGCATCAGTGCTTGAAGTTACTAACTTCTAGTCTGAGCCATGTTGTTAGATGCAGACTACTTGGTTGGGGTCCGCGTGACTTTCGTAACCAATGGTTGGAGACTCTTGGTGACATGGCTCAGAATCGGTCACAATGGCGTCGGTGTATACACTCCCTATCTTCCCTTAAACTAAGAGATTAAAATCGCTTCATATCTTTGTTTCTACGAACTAATTCTATATTCCGATACTGTATCCTTATATGCAATCTTTCTCCTATATATTACCACCTTTAACCTAACCACTCCTATGAATCCGGTGTTCATCTTGCTGTGCTAATGAGGTATGGCAACCTGGACCGATGCACATATGTGCCTGGTCCTACGTTGTAGCTGACTGACTGACTGACACTTCGTAAAATATGAAAATCATGCAATAAATCATTATTTAGACATTTTCCTTCAATTGTCGTTTACATACTACCTGATTCTCCCAATTCTGTCATTATTCCAATTACTCTGTGTTTACCTTCCTGTTCTTATTAATTCAATCTTATGTTGGCTGGCATTCTGCTTCCCATTGCTGCTTCATACTACTTATATATGTCAGCATAAGTAGCATGCACCACAGTATGATATTGTAAAAATGTGTTCACATCGTAAATTATTGGTTAATTGATGTGAAACCTTACTTAGTTCAAATTATACAAACCTGACTGTTAATAAATCATTTAAAAAGTGATATATTCCTGCATCATTTTAATTTATTATGATTGTTAAATAAATTCGTATCACTAGTCTTTGTGTTTTTAGTGCACATCGTCGGATTCAGAGTTTCAATACCAAGAACAAGTTAGTTAAGTACTCCTCGGACATAAAAAGTTACAGGCATGACAGGAGTAATTAGTTAGATATAAAAAACTTGAAATTAAAAACCAAGATATTTAAAACAAGGGTTCAATCGACTATCATGTTCAAATATGAGTTAATTTTTCCGGTCAATAACCACTTACCTCCATTACTACTACTATATCAACTATCGTTTAGCTGATTTTTGTCCCAGAGCAAAAGCTATTTCTATATTTATCAATTAATATAACTCATTATTGAAATAAGTTTACAGTAAGTATCATAATTATACATGGACACCAAGTGTATGTGTGAAAATTGAGTTCCAATTCTGCGGATATTTTATGATTATGATTATGATCTGTTAGTTCTAATTACTTAGGCGTTACTTATTTGTCCTTCCTGTCAAAACTATATTTCACATTTACATTACCGAATCTCTTTAAAAATGTACCGTAACTCGGTAACTTACAACTAACCGAATTAACAGTATTTGTTTTTCATAACCAGACGTCATATGACTTGACAAAAGATCTGCTTACTTTCCTTTGCCATATTTATTTGCATGTGTAAAATATAGTTTTTTTTATCAATAGAATGTGTGGATTTTTTCTCTTCTGGTTGCTTTGGAGCCACCATTTCATCCAGATTTATGCCATGATCTTCGCACTATCGTTAAACGATGCCGCAAATTAAGACGGGTAAGGTATATATTTTATTTATAACTTTTCTCTACAGGATTTCGAGCAGTCATCATTTTCTACTACTACTGATAATAATGTGAAACAGTGCAGCGTTGTCGCTGAAGATATTGAATTTTTCAATTTATGTATCAATCTTATATCTCATACTTTTGGTCAATCTGATCTAGCCGATGAATTAACTGAGTAAATGATTTCTGTCTTTCTATGTTCTTTTGTTAACTGGTATTCACGTGTAAATAATAATTTTATTTCACACATTTCTGATCTTCTTAATTTGAACTATCTAACTAGTGATACACATTGGAATTAAATATTCCGCTCAATTTGTACTTTGTTCGTATACAATATTACGAATTGAACTTACTTCCTAATTTAATTTCCTTAGAAGTTCCTTTGTGGATCCGTATAAATCAACGAATTGTATAAAGCCTTGATAAACTTAAGATACCGGAAGTATAATTAATGGATGATTACTTGTATTCCGTTTTATTGTTAAATAAATCACTGAGATTATGGAGAATATTTGTAGCTTGGGATGAATATTTTGAAGGCATTTTGTTCTCTGGGCTAAATAGTTTATTCGTGATTTTTATTTATTTATTTGAACACAGATATTGGTACAAGAGGGCACCAAATATATATGCGCCACACAAAACAATGAGGATTTAAAGATAAAGAAAAAAAGTAAGGAGCGTGAAAGAAAAAGGGAACAATAACGAACAGATTGGTGTAAGGTAGTGTAATAATAATAATGGTAATAATAGGGGAACGGAAAGGTACAACCAGAAGAAATCTTTCAGTTAAGGAAGAAGCAACCACTTACGAAGAAAGTAAAAGAAGGTTACAGCAGGATTGCCACTGGCTTCTGTTCTGAGCCATATCTGATAACGTCTCTAGCCACTGCGTCGTACCATCTCTCGGACCCCAGCCAGGGAGTCGTGAAGAACCAACACAAGCCAGCCATTTGCAGCTTTCTTTCATACCACGACACCATGTCATATACTGACCACCTCTCTGCTTTTTACAACCAGTCCTAGAGTCGGCAAATAATGCACGACGTGGAATTCTCTGAGACGACATTGGCAGAGCATGTCCAAGTCACCGAAGTCGGTGTTTCAAGATGGTGACATCAATTGCATTATCGCCTCTGCACCCGAACACACGATGCCAAACCGCTGCATTACTAACATGGTGTTGCCACTGGATGTCAGCAATCCTTCGGAGACAACGATGATCCAACACAGAAAGTTGTCCAACGTCCTCAACTCGGAGAGTCCAGGTTTCACAAGCATAGAACAAAACTGCTCTCACCGACGCGTTGTAGATCCAAATCAGGGTCTTGCCAGTCTTGTAGAAGTACTTTGCACTTCGAAGGTGCAAAGCACATACCGTACCTACGGACACTGATTGCCAACTGATTAAGTGCGGATTGCATGGCTTGGGTATTATCGCACAGTAAGACAATATCATCCACATACTCAAGGTCGAGAAGTCCGTCTCCATGCAACAGATCCACACCGCCATTACTTAAATCCATCAGAGCTGTTTCCAGAATGTCATGGATGGAAAAGTTGAAGAGGAATGGTGAGATTGGGCAACCCTGCTTAACCCCACTGCTGGAATAGAACAATGGAGAAAGGTGGTTGTACGCTCTCACTGTGTATGAGGTGTTTGTATATGGGGCTTTTAGGATGTTAATAAACTTCTCAGGCACACCCTTCTGCAATAGAAAATCCCAGAGAACATTCCTATCCAACGAATCGAAGGCAGCCCTGATGTCAAGAAACACTACGATTTTTGGCCTTTAATAAGTATGACAGTGTTCTAGCATTTGGCGGAGGTTGAAGATATGATCAATACATCGTTGACTAGAACGAAACTCAGCCTGCTCCTCGCGAGTCAATCTTCCTCGGGTTTTGAACAACCTACGAAGTATGACGGAAGCAATTAGCTTTTACGCAGTCGGAAGTAGACTTATTCCCCGACAGTTGTTACAGGAACGACGTGAACCCTTTTTAAAGATAGGGACAACTATCGACTCATTCCATGACGTTGGAACACTCTATAGTTCCCAGACCTTTGTAGACAACGTCGTCAGTTCCTTAGTCAGAATGTCACCGCCGTCTTTAAAAGGAGCCGGAGGTAAGTCATCTGGGCCCGGTGGTTTGTAGCGCTTTAATAATCGGAGTTCCTTGAGGACTTCCGTCTCATTTGGTGGATCAGTAGTCACCGGCCATGGAGGGCAGGACATACTGACCGATGTTGCCAAAGCAGTAGGCCAATTGAACTGTCCTTCGAAAAACTGCGTTCCGTTATTCTCGCAGATTGTTTCGCTCACACCAGCCTTCTTGCTGCCAGTGGCTCGAACGAGTTGGAAGAGCTTCCGGTAATTACCAGATGCAGCTGCTGCTTCCAGCTCATTAGCACGGTCCGACCACCATGCTTCTGGGTCCTTACGCAAGCTTTGCCCAATTTCCTTAAGTAACGTCCTTCGTTTGTGGTCAAACTCACGGTCACCCGGAGTGGACCGACGGGCTTCAATGAGTTGTAAGGAGCCTGAAGAAACCCAGTGCTTGTAAGCGGGACGTTTCGCGAACCTACAACTAATTTTAGTCGCCATTTTCATGGCGTCACTCAATTGCAACCAATGCTCATCTATACTTTTAGGTGGAATGGTAACTAGCCTAGAAGCTAGCTCGGTTTGATACTAGCAACAGAAACTGCAACCAGTTTGCTAACATCAATCCTTTAGTGGAGGTCACTTCGTTGGCCACTGAAAAGTAAGGTAAGATTGGCGCAGACCAAGGCATGATCGGAGTCCAGATAGGTACTCCAAAAGGAGTGGCAGTCTTGTACACAACCACGCCAGCGGTAGCTGATCGCGATGTGATCAATCTGAGTCCAGGCTTGGGATGCAGAGGGAGGACGCCAGGTGGCACATCGGCGATGACTGTGCCGAAAGTTAGTGCTATCCAGAAACAGTTTGTGGTCTGTGCACAGTTGCAGTTGACGGTCCCCGTTACCTGACTTGCGGTCAACAAGTCCCCATCAGTCACCTAAACGACTCTCTTCTGTGCCTAGACGCCCGACCTGAGCATTCAAGTCTCCGGCTAGTACTACAATATCTGTCGAATGCACTTTCTGGAGAAGAACAGATAACTGGCGGTAAAACTCACGCTTGATTGCATCCGGGCTGCAATCTGTCGGGGCATAGGCGGAGATGACGAAGAGACATAGTTTCTCACGCCGATTTCTTCTCACTTTTATGGAACTTTCTAATCTAACAGCAAATAACCGACTGCTAATGGGGACCCAATCGATTAGTGCTGTCTCAGATCTAGCGCTTAGTGCGACACCAACGCCAGCAGGACCAGACGAAGATGCCACTGGGTCCTCGGATAAGCGCACGTAAAACAAGCTTTTTGAAGCGACCGATGGAGATCGAACTTGTAGTAGTTCACCAGAGCCTTGAATGCGGGTCTCGGATAGACAACAAACATCAATATTAAGACTTTCCAAAGACATAGCCGGTCCTATCTGTTATCCGACCTGCATAAATGTGCGAACGTTGAAGACAGCCAGTTTGAATGGTGCACGTGGTTTCAGAAAAACTGCTTCAGTCCTCGTATTCGGTGGTAACATACAATTTTCAACCGGACAGTGACTCGAAAACGTTTAGATAGAGTCGAATTTCCATCGTAGGCGAGCTGCTGTATAAGTCGAAAAAAATAAGTATAGACAGAGTAGGAATAAAAGAGGGTGAATAATGACGTAGTAAATAATAATAGTAATAATGATGCGAGTCACTTGATTGTTATTTGTAGCGAGAGGAATATTTTTCATAAGTAGGTAGTTTATCATGTTTTTGTGTGCGGTCTGAGATACTGCCGGGGTGCCCAAACCGAAGCAGGTGGTTTCCTTAGGGGGCCACGCCCCGAGCCTTTGACCTAAAGGTCTAACCTACAAGGCAGTGGAGCATCGTGAGGAGATGCAGTCCCATGGTAGCCGTGAACCTTTCATCATTTTTTCCGACATTATCAATACACTTCAATAAGAGATGATTCATTAGAATTTCTCTACAAATGGCTAGCATATTTCGTTGAACTAGGATTTAGTTGCTTGTTGTGGCCGTTGTTTGCGTAGCTATTTCTATTGCTTTGACCTCTGACCTTGCAGCTGTTTATCCTTCACCTTATTAGTTAATAAGCTGAGTCGACTTCTATAAGCCTATTAACTGGTGCATCCCCAGAATCCGAACTTTTAAAAATTCTCCAACATTACTTGCATTTTCTTTTTCCAATGTTTCCGTGTTTTCCTTGTCAATCTAATTTCCAATGTCTACATGCATTGATATATGTCATAGGTTTAAACCGAGAGAAACGTCACTTATTAAATTGTACACTCGTGATACTGTCAAGAAATACACGATTAAACAATTCAGCTCAGAGGACACGACACCTTCAAAATAAGTTACTGTTAATATATGCATTCTTTAAACTATCAGAAAATATTGTATCCGAAAATATATAATTGTTCTGGAATTTTTGATGCATAGTGTAAATTTCGATGTTCGAGCTAATGGTCATATTTCATTTGACCGTTTCCTGGCCTCTGGTTAAGGAATGTAACGAAAAGTTCATCTGATCACTCACTCATCTTTCATAGTAAGTCTCATCCTAAATTATCACTGTGCTTATAGAAGTCGGTCAAGTATAAATGCACACTTTTAACTTAATTTTCTGTTCATAAATAGCAAACGACTATTTTGATACCAGTGGTATTAAAATAAAGTCAACCAACTTGATAGTCCTTCGTAGTTACGTCATCTTTTAATGTCATGTTTCTTAATATTAAAATAATCAGTTCTTTGTTACCAAATCAATTATTTTCGCTAACGTCCAATGTTAAATTATTGATGAACAATGTAACCAAAAAAGCGTTGATAATCAGTTATTTTCAAACTTGTACTACTGCAATATTTCCCTTTTTCAAATGAAATTTCTATAACCAAGCTGGAGTTTTGCTACGCTGCTGATTCGGCCCTGCTTTTATGGAGGTTTAAGTACAAACTTCTGAGGACTCGCGAAACAATGAACAACTGGCCAATATTCTCAGTTAATCATTACTTCATTTTGGTACATAGATCTACCTAATCTTGATTTACAAATGCGTTACACTTCATACATTAATGTTAGTTGATCCGTTTAATCGTTATAATTTTAGCATAGTTATTTGGCTAGAGATGTTAATCCCCTCA